GTGCCTATATGTCGAGTCTCTCGCCTGTTGCAGTGGTGGGTGGGAATTTAGCAGGATTATTTCACCACTTTTATGCAATGCCGATAACTGTCTGCAGTGTACAAATTTAGCTACGCTAGCTAGTCGAGTTCTGATTGGTTGATCGTGTTATGACATTTGATGTGATTGGTCGGTCAAGCTGCTTGATTTTTGTTCTTCAGATTACCAGCCTGTGATCAACGAGTCAGCGGTGATCACTGCAAGTTCTCCTATTGTCAAAGTACAAGGTGGACATAAAGTTGTTGCTGCAGGTTAGTAGTGGCTGTTTAACCTTTTCACTCCCCAGGGCCCGGTTGTTCGAAAGACGGGTTAAACTAACACTGGGTTAGGGCTAACCGGAGGTTAATTTTCTTAACCGTGGGTTTGTTATCCCGCGGTTAAATCGCGTTGTTCAAAGCACAGTTAGCGGGCGGTTAGTTAACCTCGGGTTACGCGCGGCTAACCCGCGGATAGCATCCCATAATACTCTTTGTTCATTTTCTCGCATAAATTAAAAATGGCTTCCCTAAAGGCGAGAAAACGGAAGTGCGTCGAAATAGCCATTTTGACGGATAAAATTGAAGGAAATCTTGACATGGTACAAAGTAAATTAATCAGCAGTATCACAAATCACAAGAAAGCCGAAATTTTGGCTGGAAATCACTGCAGAAGTCAATGTTATCAGCGTCATGTCCGAAGCTTCGAAGTGTTGGAAAATGGAAAAGTCGACTTGTAAGATGTCGATTTTGCGCAGCAAAGAAAGAGTTTTCTAGTTTAAAAAGGATGAGAAAACTAGTCGAGGTTCTGCTCCGAAGATCCCATCTGCTGCGGTGGCAAAAAAGTTGGTATATATAAAGCTTAATAAACTTTAATAAGCTTAGCTGGACTTTATAATTATGATTACAATAAATTATTGGCTTTCACTAGTCTTCTTTATTTGGTAACGAGGGACATGAAGTGAGAAAAACTGTTGTCCCTTGAGCGTTTCCCAGGCATCAATCACTTGCTAAAATATTAGCTTAAATCAATCAATCCAACTCATGTGAGAAAAAAATATATATATACAGAATCTAAGTTCCCTATAAACAGCACATAAAGTTCAGGCTTTATAGAAAGTGTGTTGCAACCTTGTTTTTGTGATTGTAAGACAATTTTAATCCCAACAAATCTTTATTACATTTTAACACACAATATTGTAGTCTCACTGTATACATCTTGTTTGTACTTAAGGCTGAAATGTTAGATCTCCTTGTAAACCCGGTGGGAACATTAGGGCGAGCAGATGGCAGACACATTATGTCACCCAGATAACATGTTCAGGGAATTGAACAGGGCACTCAGCTCAGATGCAAAGAAATACCCCAGCCTTGATGTGTAAATTAGAGCTACAGACAAGAACAGGGTCATATAAATGTTTTTAATGTCTCGAGTTTCAAACTACAGTTGAACCTCGGTATTTCAAACTCTCAGGGGAAACAAAAAATAGTTCGAAATAGCCGGGGTTCGAAATAGCCAATAGTAAATGACTGAAAAACAAGGCAAGGTCAATGGGTATTAGTTCAAAATAGTGGGGCATTCAAAATAATCAAGTTCGAAATAGACTGTATTCTCTGAGCATACACCATTGATCCTGTGACTCTCACCCCAGGGGTGTTCAGTTTGTTCAGAATGTTGCTTTCCAACTAATGCCCTGCTTATCTGCATCCTGGGGAGGTTACATTGACTGGGCATAATTTTAAAAAAGAACCTGTTTGTGTCACAACTACATTTAGCCTGTGCAATTATAAAGTTGCTCATAAGCAATGGAAACAATAATATTATTAAACGCATTCTTATAATTTCCATTTGGACTGGTAATTAGATGATGAAAATCACTATTGATAATCATATAAATATTCAAAGTATTTCAATATATTATTTCTGAATTCAACTTTTACTGCTAGATATTTGATTTATAAATTGGGTTTAGCTTCTTTCGATGCTTTATGATATACATGCATATCTTATTTCGGGGGGGGGGGGGGGAGGCTCCCATATAAAAGTGACGGGGTGATTGTCGGAAATTTTGAAAAGAACTCCTAAAAGGTACCAGAATCTTGTGTTGTGGGCGTGGCTTGAATTCATTTCCACCCTAATAGGTACCAATTTAAAAACAAAACTAGTTCATATCCTAAAGTACCTGAATATCTATAATAGTGGTCATTTTAGATTTCATCACCCTAAGCGGTACCAAACCACAAATTTTAAACCCCTAAAAAGTACGACGATCACCCCCATCATTTTTTATATGGGAGTCGCCCCCGGGATCTTATTAGACAGTTTTAAAGTGTGTAGTATCACTGTATATTTTTACAAGATTTGCTGTATTTTGATGAGCCCACAGGACAAGTCAAAATACAATCAACGAGTAAAAATGTACAGCGATACAACACAAACTGTCTAAATAAGAGATTTATTATCCAACTGCTTATAACCATTAAATAACTATAAAATATCGTGGGATATTTGTACTCATTTTACAAGTTATCTGTACTCTACTGACTGAAGTTGGATAATATATAAGTGGATTTTTACTACATCTACAAAAACATGGCTTTTGAGCCAATGTGCCCAGAGGGGGATACTTGACCCATGTTTGGGTATAGGGGTGCTGCTGAGGGTTTGAAACCCTGACCCTGTTTAGGAAAAAAAAACCATACCTACCCTGTGTAGGACAACATCATCTATTTTTATTAGGACCCTGTTTAGGACAAAATACACACTCTCTTGTTTTGCATATTTTAAAAGTGTTTTATTGGCTGATACCCACTAAAGACGTCAAAGACCGGCAAACATCTCCGATCTCGGATAGCTAAATACTGTATAAACCATATTTTTACGACGACAATCGTGCAACCATACCCTGTTTAGGACAAGTTCAGACCCTGTTTAGGACATACTCGCATAAAATTATATACCCTGTTCAGGGCAGAGGCCAAAAACCATACCCTGTCCAGTGGCATGTCCCCGTATAGGCCACATAAGGGAGTAACCCCCCCCCCCCCCCCCCCCCCCCCCTCGGGAATGTGCACAGTGCCCAATCTGTCACATAATATAAAATAATAATAAAAATAATAATATTTAGTCCATAAAAGGTGAATTCAGCAAGTACATCAGCATCTTCACAGGACCTAAGTCAGCTAATTTTGCAATAATTTAGTTTCTGCTGAGACTTTTAAGGATCTTCATGAAAACAGACAATTAACTGTTTAAAGATTCCTACAATCACGAGAGGAAAATCTGTTATAGAAAAAAATATGCTTGCTTTTCAAAGGTAAGTGAGACATTTCAGGGAAAAGTTGTACTAGTCAAAGAAATTCTTAATTGTTTTGTATTGAAATCAGTTTATGGTGATATTCTTTCGAGATATATGTTATTATGTACATGACCAAGGAAATTTGCTAATTGTGGTTAAAACATTATTAATAAATTATTGTCTCTTGAAATTAAATGGCAATGACCGGTGTTCTTGTTTTGGCCTGAAATAGGGTATAGATTTTCACCATTTTGGTCTGAAATAGGGTATGTTTTGTGCACTCTGGCCTGGAATTTGGTTTGGCTTTTAGACGAAACTATTTTTTTCCATTAACATCGGGAATTTGAAGCCCTTTTCAAATGTTTGCGCAAATGGAACCCATTCCTGGGTAGCTGAAGTCATGTATTAGACACGTGTACTAATTTTATAGGTCTGAAATAGGGTATCAATTTTTGTGTCAGGTCTGAAATAGGGTATGGAAAACTCACATATTTTGGTCTGAAATAGGGTAAGGGTTTCAAGAAGCAGGCCACACACCCCACCAAAAATTTCAGGGAGTACCCCCCCCCCCCCCCCCCCCGGGGCAAAATAATATTGTAACTTGGCTCCAAGGCGAAGAAAACAAAATAAATATTTTACCCTTACATGTAAATCTCGATGTGATTTCTTTTGTTTGATACCCTAAGCCTTGAAGCTAAGTGAGGAAAATATAAGCATTACAGTGCAACAGATCATGTAATTTTAATTAAATGTCCTTAAAAAATGCTACAATTTGCAAATAAAATTATTAAACTTGCCTAGATACAGTGATAGATAGTTCTGACTTTTCTGCTTGTAAAACGATAAATCGATTCAAGGCCGTTATCACCCGAGAAACGGTAGACTTGTTCACCTCGGTGGTGCATAAAACTACGTAACTGAGCTTTATATTAAACCACTTCATGCAGGGGCTCATGATCATCGATCTACTTGGCTTGATTTCGTCGAGTGTTGCGATGAAGATCGCTGGCAAAAGATTCGTAACAAACAAAATAGACGCACGTCCAAAGCGATGTAAACGAGGTCGAAGTTCTTCGTCTGTGAAGTCGTCAACTTCACCATGCTTTCCGAGTATTATCGATGCCTTCGGGGAGCCGCCATTTGTTTGACTTTTGTTTATATTTAACCCGAGGTTAGTGATTTAACCCACCTAGCTAGGTGGGTTAAATTTAACCCGCTGTTTAACCCGAGGTAAGCGTTAACCTACCTTTGAACAACAGAACTAACCTGCGGATAAAATTTAACCCGAGGTTTTGTCGATTTAACCCGAGGTTAGGATTTAACCTTCTTTCGAACAACCGGGCCCAGAGTGCTAAGTTCAAAAGTGAGGAAAAAATCTTGAATTTCATTTTGCAAAATTGTCAAAAACAAACAGTACCACTTGAAAGTACTGCTCAATAGCTTTCATTTGAATGGTCACACAATAGGTTTTCACCCACAGACTTAAAAGTTAGAACCACCTTGAACAGCATAATAAACAGTACCACATGAAAGAACTGCTCAATAGCTTTCATTTGAATGGTCACACACTAGGGTTTCACCCACAGACTTAAAAGGTACAACCACATTAGCCTGCGTGAAGACATTTCCTATATCCTTGCTTCGGCTAAACCACATTTATTGACTCAAGGTTTGACTTTGGGAGGGAGACGCTGTGGTGTAATGGTTAGCGCGTTGGACTCCAGATCGAGCGGTCCGGGTTCAAACCCTAGCCGGGGTCATTGTGTTGTGTTCTTGAGCAAGACACTTTCAAAGATCCTTGCAATAATTGACAACCATTCTTTTTTGACTGAATAATGTCGCCTTTTATTCAATCAATTTACTCTATCAGTCGGGGAACAAGTGCCGTTGTTAGCAAATCTTCGTTGAAGCACTCGAAGAGTTTCCGATTGTTATTATCCAATCAAGAAACAGCGCGAGCTCACGCCAGCAAATACGTCATGTTGCTTAGCAACTTTGGGGACGAACACCGCGGGCTCAGTCCCGTCTCGGAGGCGGGATTTCGTCATCAGCTGGTACTTGTTCCCCTGACCGCTATGGCCTCAAACGAACAAACAAACCACAACAACAACAACAACAACAAACTTTATTTTCATATAAACCATATTTTCATATTGATGAAAAAACCACCATGACAGCTTTGCTTTCTGTTTCTTATCACCAGTGGCTGGAATACAGTTTGATCAGGAAAAAATAAACAAGATCTTTCTCGATGCCAGCTCAAACGTAATGTAACAATTTGTTGATTATTGTTGGAAATCATTTTAGTGTTAATAGAAGCTTTTAATTTCTTAACACCTGTTTTTTTCTGTCTACAGATTGAATGCAATAGCACAGATGTAAGTAAGCCCCATTGTTGATCACGCCTTTAGTACAGTCGAAGCTCTCTGAGCGGACACTCTCGTAAGCGGACAGCTCTACTTACGGCCGCCTTGACAAAACCCCGTTTGAACTCTAGCTCATGCAAACTCTGTATTTACACATTCCCGTAAGCGGCCAGCTCCAGTTGCGGACACTTTTTCTGCTTCCAGAGGGTGTCCGCTTACAGGAGCGTTGACTGTATTTAGATTATTATCGGAGGTCATAACCAAACCTTGAAATTATTTATCCTACACCAAAATCTCCTTCGCGGCAGTTATTTGGGTCGTCACGCAACGCTTGACACGTCAGGCGTTGCGTGATGATCCAAATAACGGCTGCAGGAGACTACATGTACCTTACACCAGGGTACCAGAGGATTTTCTTGCGCGCTAGCGCGTTCAGTTGTGGACCGGCCAACACCCGCAACACTTAACCTGCGAAACTAAAAAGTTCCGAATTATACTTATAGCAATACTCGTTACTACGGGTACGCGTGACGATATTGCGTGACAATCTTTTTTTGTGTGTGTGTGCGTTACAGAATTGTTACTCTCGACTTATCGACGATGATGGCTTTATATTGGCTTCAAATCAACCGGACGATGCAGAGGTATGAATATAGACACCTGTTCTTGAGGCTTGTCACGCAACGCTCATTTCCTCCCTCACAAGCATTGCGTGACAAGTCACGTGAATAGGTTTGTAACCGGACCGTCTGGATTAGCCTGAGTGGAGAAGAGCGCGAGTTTTTGGGGCGCGCGCGCGCGAGATGAGACGCGCGAGGAAGGCGTTCTCTCGCTTCGCGCGCGCCCTTCCAACTCGCGCTTCATTTTACTCCAGGTACGCTGGATAAACTCGTTGAATTTTTCACTCATTCCTCTTGTTTCTTAGGTTGGTAAGTTCTTTGGCGTTTCAGAAGGAGCTGTGTTGAAGGAGTTCATTAACCAGTCCAGGTTCAAAAAGTGAGTTCCACTTCACTGTTTTTATTTTCGCTTGATTTAGTTTGCATGTAGATACTTCATCACTTTGTTTCAATCTCTTGCCGCAGATTGACGTTTAAAAACGTACAAGGAGAATGCAAGAAGCCAGAGCAGGACTCCTCCAGTGCCAGGACACTTCTGAATGTAAGCCGATTAATAATTCAATCCTACTTACGCCCCTTCCACACGACAAAGTTTTCCTTGACAAGGAACATTGACAATTTTTATTTGCTCGTGTGGATAAACAACAATTTTAATTTGACAAGTTTTTCCTTGAAAAATTTTATTTGCTCGTGTGGACGATAAACAATTTTTCTTTGACAATTTTTCTTTGTAACAACAATAATATTGTACAGCGGATTACCAGGTTGCGAGCACTGAACAAGATAAGGCCGCTGGGCACCAGGGATTCCTTGTCAAGTTTTCCTTGTTGCACAAAACTTGCTCGTGTGGAAGGCGCTTTACTGCCCTCTCAGATTTAATGTGGCAACGGTTTAGGGAGGAGGGAGAAACGGCTGAAAAAATAAGTTAAAAATAAGGAGATTTATTATATGGCAAACTGGTTCATGATGAAAAGGAGCATTCTGATTGGTTCCCTCAGTGTCCGAATTTTGCAGTACGCACCGCTAAGATGGACCGCTCACGAACTCATTTCGCCAAATTCCTTTTATGAAACATTGAACAAAAGAAAACTGTTTTTCTCTTTTCTTCGACCAAAATTTCCCAAAATATTTACGGACCTCACGGTAGTTCAATAACTTCTATTGGATATTTAACTGTCTGATCCTGTCATCTTCTCGTCTCAGAGCGGAAAACAAGTGACTTCTAAAACAAAAAGTATAAGCTTGGAATTGTAGCTAATTTTGACCTAACTGAGCATGAAATGGGAAGTGGGAGCATATTTTATTTTTATTGTGTTAGTTAACTGTAGATTGATGTTTTCTTTTGTCAGCCGCTGTTTGCAGTGACCTCTTACGTACAGTTTTGGACACAGACGGTCTTCTGGTAAGCAGCTTACACAGTTTGAAAAAAATAACCAATTATGCATGCTCTTCTGGTTTTGACTACCACTCATTCCATTCGAGACGCAATCTGGGACGAGTCGCATCTCGCAGTCGCTTGTGGGACCGTTACTGGGATCGCGTCATCATGCTGGCCGCCATTTTGTCCCACAAGCGACTGCGAGATGCAACTCGCCCCAGACTGCTTCTCATTTCTTAACTGGCGAATTGACATGTACTCCAAATTGTTCTTTTCCAGGTCTCTGATGCAATTCAACATCTACAGTTTTTTCTCTCGCGGTAATGTTGGTAAGTGAATTCCATTTTCTCTTAATTGTTTTTTCATTCTCTTCCGGATTATCCTACCCTTGGTACCAGAGGTTTTTAACTGCACAAGAAAAGCCTCTGGCACCCAGGGTAGGATTATCCTAGGCTGAATTTAACGTTGACTATAATATTCAATCTCGTCTGTTTTAGCCTTGGCTAATGGACAACAGGAAAAGAAAATTGCATGCTCACAACAACTCCAATTTTACAAAGGAGATTGGCAACGTCGAACAACCGACAAACCTGGTAAGAAACTTCAAATAAACTTGTAATAATGACTTCAGTAGAGTCTTGTTAAGCTCGGGCCCAACGAGGATGAGAGTTGTTGAGAGTTGGCTCTCGTGAGAGTTTTCTTCAACTCTCATCGACTATCATAACCTCGGGCCAAACGAGAGAAAACTCTTGACCACTCTCAAAAAAAATTTGAGCAGGTTCAAATTCGATGAGAGTGCACAGCGCTTGAGAGTTTCAGGCCAAACGAGAGCGAGAGTTTGAACAACTCTCATCCTCGTTTGGTCCGGGCTTTACTAAACCGTATCGAATCTTATTCAAAATTAATACAGCATGAAATTACACAATATGTCTGTGCTTTTGTAAGAATTTCATTTCGTCTCGTGGTAAACTTTTCATGCGTTTATCCTTTTTTTCTCAGAGCCACTGAACTGTCCAGAATCTGACAACTGTGCATGGTAAGATAGTTAATTCTTGTTTCAGAATTCATGTTTATGACTCCCACTGAATGTATTCTGGGTTTTTTTGTTGTACTTGGATTCCACATGGTAGTCACCAGACTGACTATAGCTAGAGCTCGTTTACAGATTGTTGATATTTTATTATAGGCAGGTATACATGGCGGCAGTAAACGGCACCAATCTCCGACTGGTGGTGGTAAAAAGAACTTGCCCATGCATCGGGAAGATTACAGCTAAACCACAGGATTGTATCCTTTTGAATTACCTTTTTGATAACGTGCAATGAACCAATCAGAACTCGAAGCAAAACCGTGTAACCCGCGCCAAGCGCGGGAAAACGTAAATAACGTGATGAACCAATCAGAACTCGAAGCAAAAACATGCAACCCGCGCCAAGCGCGGGAAAACGTAAATGAGGCAATGGACCAATCAGAACTCGAAGCAAAAACGTGCAACGCGTGCCAAGCGCGGGAAAACGTAAATAACGCGAAGAACCAATGAACACGGCTCGAAGCAAAAACATGCAACCCGAGCCAAGCGCGGAAACGCGCAGAAAAGTCATCACTGATTTTTGGTTTTGCTCCTAGAATGTTAGTTTGACATGGAGTTAGTGTTCCTTGACTAGTTGTGTTTTCACAGCTATTCCTGATATACCAAGCCCTAGCGTCGTTCCATACAGGAAACCTCCCGAACTCAAATCACCCTGCGATGACAAGAACGAAAAGGTAAGAAATAACGCATAAACCCCGCGCGCTATTTTACACCACTGAATGGAAAGCACTTTATAAATCCAGTCAAACCTGTATTAAGCGGCCCTGTTTTATAAGCGGTCACCCTCTATTTAGCGGTCAGTAGTCAGTGAAATTCCCGAAAATAGACCTTCCTCCAAAATGGCCGCCGCAAATTCATATTAAACTGAGCGGAAAATCAATACCAGCACCTGAAAGACCACCTCTTGTTTGGTAATCGTACAAAGTTTCGTTAGGTTAGGTTCTACCTGAGTCGAAAAAACGGAACTTGAAAACTGGAAAATTTAGAGACGTTTGTAGTATACGCCATACCCCCAGTCATACAAACGTCTCTAAATTTTCCAGTTTTCAACTTCCGTTTTCTCGACTCAGGTAGAACCTAACCTAACCAAACTTCGTACGATTACCAAACAAGAGATGGTCTTTTAGGTGCTATTTTATTTATTCACTTTTTTAACAATCTCGCAACAATCTACCTACGTAAGTGTAATGTTCCAACTGATGTTCATTGACATGTTTTGTTTCAGGGTAAACCTCCGTGTGCCTTGGCAAGCCTGTCTTCTCCTCAGTGCGTCACTGTGCTTGTTCTGTTCGTATTGGCTTTACTGATC